GAGTGAAAGGGTTTGGTGAGACTGTCACAACACGTTTTATTTATTTCCAACGCGCGTGGTCGGCGCCTCTGATTGCGTTTATTTTGTATTTTTTTGTTTTCAAAATGTATAACTGGCTGCGCTTGTTTTGTTTTCCTCAACAAATTAACTGTTCCGGGATCTTTTTCATTTTTCGTCCGGCTGCTGCCAATCCAATAATTCGTCGCCGCATGTACTCAGACAAGCGATTAATCGTCACAGTCATTATACTAGTAGTTTAAGTCCAATTGATTTGTAGAAATTCAGCTATGCGATAATTATATGTGCAGTTTTGTTTTGCGCACACAGACACGAACAAAAGTTAACCAATAGATTTTCTGAGCTAGAGCATTCGTATTACTTATGCAAATTGAGTAAGGGTCATAGTGTGAGTTGCGTTCGCAAATAAAGTGTCAAATTATTTTGAGCGCCGCTCGGAATAAATTTAGTCAAAATCACACACAGAAACATACACACAACACACAAATACTAGTACTCAATACATATCGCGATTGACCAGTTATATAGATGCTTGAACTACACACACTAGGACGTAAATACAGGTCACAGTTCGACTTGCCATGGAACTATAAACCGGGGTTTATAGTTCCATGGACTTGCGTAGCAAATGTTACAATGTGTCAAGTGATTTGAAGGCGTCTTTGTTTCAAAACAGAGAAGCAATAGGCGTTGTGTTTTGAATCGTCATTAAAACTTAAATTTATTACGAATACAAACTTAAGTTTATACATACAATGTACGATCATTGTTACTCCAGCGGTCGATTGGCAAGCGGACGATGTTTCAGAAGCCAGCCATAGCAGGAGCGAGCGAGCGAACAAAAGCAAGCGAGCGAGCGAACAAAAGCGAACGCGAGCGAGCGGAAAAAAAGCGGTCGGTTTCCGGTCGGAAAGGAGCGAGCGGTCGAAAATTAAGCGATAAGCGGTCGGGAAAAAAAGTGATAAAAGCGGGAGGTTGGGCGGAATGAGTACTGTACATTCAACTTATCAAAAATCAGTAAATATTAACTTCATAAAAAAACCAGCCAAAATATTTTCAGTATTTTACAGTACTATGGAATGCAAGGAATTTTTGGGTTGTAATGAATCTTCAAACATATATTTGAAACCAACCAATGAAATACATTATTTCACTACAGATGATTGTAACCATACATATTCCATGCATAATGGTTGCAATACTATAATGATGAATGGTCAGTCAACATCCATACATAGCCTATCTGCAGGCAGTGTACAAGATATGACAGTTAATATGTATAGAGATGGTGATTTATCCAAACCTATCAAAAGGTTTATTGCAGACTTTGTCAGAGGACAGGTAAGCTCTCTCGGTCAGATGTAACATTTATCAGGCCATTCACATAAAATAAAACACTGCGACACTGTGCTGTGGCCCTTATGTGTCCTACATTGTACATGTGACCTAAGGTTTTAATTATGGCTGAATTAAACCTGACAACAGTGACATGACATATGTCTTAAATAAATATTTTATACTTTTATATCTTGAGCATTATATTATCTCGCAGTTTCCAATATTTTCTTGTTATAATTGTTCATTTTGTGATTGTTTTCAAACTTGTACATGTATATTTATTTGTGCAGCTGACTGGCTTACCATCTCAAGCGTTAGGTTATACCATCTGTCTGTACATTGAAGGGTTAGGATTGGATGTTGTGGCCGAAGTTAACTCTAAAGACATTGGTGTTGATTGTAAAGTATCCATTGAGGAGATGTGTAAGAAGTCTGTGGATACATGTATACAGAAGTCTATCTTTTCACCTGGACATCTTAGCCAGGCTAGTGCACTAACCAGCTCACATGATACATCCTGGAAGAAACAAGACTTGGCTAGGTACGTAATTTAGTTGGTCTCTTTACTGGTTACTAATTTAGGTTCCATTTGTCTGTCTGAAGCTATTTCTAAGACATGCATTTACCGATTTCTTTCAAACTTGGTACATTGTACAAAGACAATAAATGATGTCAGACATATTTTGTTTTGTGATGTTATCAAATTTGGCTGATTGGCATTTATTTTGGTGATAAAGTCATTAAAGCCTAAAACTTGAATATGTCTGTGACTGAGATGACTGCTCCGAATTCAATCAAACTTTATTCACACTGATACTGGTAATACATATTGGGTTCCAAGTGCCAATTATTTGTTAAGATCTGATTTCAGTTGGCCGATTGATGGTCATGTTGTTTTCATTATTTCTCTGTATATGGACAACATTACTGTCTTTCAAACCTTTACTTGTAAATTTAATCTCAGTGACCTCGCTTGATATAATGTCGTTTGCTGTGACTTGTTGATGTTAACACGACTTCTAAGTATAGGTGATTTAAAACCTCCCTGAGGTCTGGTCAGTTTTTCAGCTGTGGCCGGTTAATTGTTATTGAGGTATTATATTATACCAGTATATTGATGGTGTTAATCCATTGATTTGATTGGTCCAAACACAAAATTTGCATATGCAATCCATGGTATATTGGCTGATAATGCACGGCTAAACCAAGTGGCCCTGGAACATGAATTGACTACAGGTTTAATATGGAAATACATAAAATCGGTATTATTTGATTTTTAGGGAAATATAGTGGTTGAATTTTGGAAGAATATTGAAAAAAATACTGAATTAAAAACATCTGAAAAGTTATATAACTATAATATTGCTTTTTGTTAATGGTGGGATCCAAGTTGTGAGCGTCGGTCGTTGGGTGATTGTCGTTCGCCACACAAACCTAAACCACCGTCCCTCAACACCGTGAGGTGCCTTACACGAACGTCAGAATGCTATGTTCTCAGTGTTGTTACTTTGAGATGGATTGCGAACTTCCAACAAAGAAAACATGATCTTTAAGTACAAGATATAATTGAGGGATTTAATGACATAAAAATGCAAAAAACTATGAGTCACAGGCAAAAATGTATGCCACCAATAACAACCGGTGTCCGGTAGCGGCAGTGCACCTGGGTAATTGCCATCTGTTTCAAAAAACACGGGACAATGCAGGATTCGACGACGATATATGGTATTGTAATTCTCCACTATGGGTAAATAAATTACAGGAGATGATGAAGGTAATTTCGAAAGCTACAGATTTGTGCTGAGTGTACACCAACCACTGTATTAGAGCGACGGCGTGCAAAGTCTTTCGGCCGGAGTTGAGACAAGGCATATCATGTACGTGTCACAAAAACGATGCGAAATCCGATCTTACACCATCAAACTTACCCCAGAACAACGACAAAACTTGTCAGTCATACTGTCACAAAACTTTGGTTATACCAAAGGTATCCAGGTCAGATGTTGGAACTGAGGTCGCTGTGCCGGTC